CATCACCCCTCCTCCAGCAAATGGCAGAGCTGTATTCATGTGGTGTGCTGGCAGTTGAGGGCAAGGGGGCCTGCTGTGGGGGGGAGGGCTGTTGTACGTGAGACTAAGGCCTCGGACAAGAACAGATGTTACACTGGTCCACACAAAGAGTCAGGGGGTGGGAGGAGGCTGAAAAAGAGGTGTATCATTCTGGGCCTTGTCACAGATCCTGAGGGCTGGTGTCACACACAGGCTGGTGGTAGGTGGAAGAGTGCACGTCACTGGGACCCGAGAAGGGCAGCCCCATGGCTGGAGTGCAGACACACCCTGAGGTACTGCTGCAGTGGCTCATGGGCATACCCAGGTTCCAAAGAGTGGCCGAGCGAGGCGGGTGTTTCAGGAAGGAAGGGTGACACAGATGTCTCCAGGAGGTTCTTTCCAGCCCACCGATTATGGTGACTGCTAAACGCAGCAGGTTTTCTTGGCAGGATTACAACCGCTATCCCTTCTGCAGAGACATACATGTTCTAGACTAGAGACACAGACCTCCTTGGGGCACATCTCAGAAGGGTTAGCACAACTGGGGCAGCTTCCCCATTGCAGCGTCCATGTAATCCCTCTCCCCAGGAAGCTAATCCACCTGGTAACCAACCTTCTGTAAACCCCAGGAAATTAACAAACAAAACATATGTTTAGGGACAATAAGGCTGCCTCAGGACTCACCCCAAATCCTTGGAAGCATGGAAATACCAGACTGAGGGGAAGTCTCCAGCATTCCTTGTTACTGGCTGGATAGTTGGATTGGGGAAGGTGGGAGGGCATGCAAGGGGAACACAGGATGCAGGAATCAGGGAGGGCTTCTTAGCCGCCAGTGAGGTGGGCTGTGGGGAGATGTTTGGGGAGGCTAGTAGTGGGAGGTATGTGAAGGGGAGATGCTTGGTGCATGGGGTAAGTAAAGCCAGATTTTGCAATGAAAACTCTAAAGTGATGTATTGCATCTGGAGCAGTATAGGAAACATCAGAGAGAAAATCCAGGAGGCCAAATCAAGCATAAGAGCAAAATACATCTTTGTATACTTTACATTCAATACATTCCCTGATGGATCTGGGGCTGCGCCATCACCCTGGCCTGGGGTGGGAGCTTGTCCTGCTCACCCTATCCCAACCACACCCTGATAAGATCCCTTCCTGGCAATGAGGCTAGGAGAAGGGTGAAAGAACAAAGCATCGCTCCGAAGGAAGGAAAGGTGAGTAGGATCCAAGCAAGCGATGTGGGCTACAAGATGGCTTGTCACTGGCAGAGACTTCGTTCACCCGTCTGCCTCAAGCATTGGAATAGCCATTCTTCAGCTGACTGCAAGAGAAAGACATTTAACAGTGTGAGCTGGTATTGTAGAGGAGAAAGGTCCCTTATGCTATGCTGGGACCCCACAGAATCGGCCAGTCTTTTGCCCTCTGGCCAAACTGGAAGGTATAGACCAGAGAATGACTTTACATATCTGGGGGAAAGTGGGCTATATTTATTACACAAAGTCGATTGGGCAGTTGTGTGATATAATTCACTTAATTTCCAAGATGGCTGCATTGAGCTCCTTAGGGGGTTAAATAGTGACTGTATTGCTTCACGTTTTAAACAGAAGTCATTGTCCTGACAGGTGATGACAGCCGGTCAGCTGTATGTGCGTGTGCTCCTCCTGTGTGTTGACTATGCGCAAGTAGTCAACAAAACAGATTCAGAGCAAGCCCCCAAAGATCACACAATAGGATGAGGATCAAAGGTGCCCAACCAGGTTTATTGTTAAATGAGGTACAGTAATCGTTGTCAGTAGACTCTTCCGAACCACTACGCGTAGGTACCCTCTGACAATGGCCCAGCTCAGTCAGTGGGAGGTCCCGTTGCCCTCTAGGCCAGACAAAGACTGCCCCTCCAACACACCACTTCATATACAGATACTAACAAGTTACACATCACTCCTGACGTATCAGGTTGCCACCCTCTGATATTACCACCCATCAAAATGTCTCTATCAATCATGCTGTCATTTCAGACCTTTTCCTGAACCTGTGTCAGTATATCCTTATTACCTGTGGGGAGGGTGGGTACCAAGGCCCTTTTCAATGAGGTGCTATTTCTATCCATCTGGGATGTGCTTTCAACTTATGCCTAATTCCAATTACTGTTTTGCAGCCGGTATCTAGTACCAATGACTATTCTATACCTGTGCTTATTACCAATTAGGCTACGTCTAGACTGGCATGATTTTCCGGAAATGCTTTTAACGGAAAAGTTTTCCGTTAAAAGCATTTTCGGAAAAGAACGTCTAGATTGGCACAGACGCTTTTCCGCAAAAGCACTTTTTGCAGAAAAGCATCTGTGCCAATCTAGACGCGCTTTTCCGCAAAAAAGCCCCCATCGCCATTTTCGCAATCGGGGCTTTTTTGCAGAAAACAAATCTGGGCTGTCTACACTGGCCCTTTTGCGCAAAAGTATTGCACAAAAAGACTTTTGCCCAAATGGGAGCAGCACAGTATTTCTGCAAGAACACTGACAATCTTACACGAGATCGTCAGTGCTTTTGCAGAAATTCAAGTGGCCAGTGTAGACAGCTGGCAAGTTTTTCCAGAAAAGTGGCTGCTTTTCCGGAAAAACTGGCCAGTCTAGATACAGCCCTGGTGTTTTACTCCATCACCCCTGTTAGTGCCAAGCTCCGTGAGCAGGGGCCTAGCTTTTGCTCACAGCTTAGCTTTGCTTTATATTAGAAAGTCTTGACCACTGGCTTGTGATACATGAGCTTATGTTTCAGGGCCTCACTACAGTTCTTGTTTTGGATATAGCTGTACAGTTTTCTACTTTGTAGTCTAGAATAGTTGCATTATTTCTAATAAGCAGGGCTCGCCAAGGAGCGGCGAGCCCCACTTGCCAGCCGCGCAGAAGCACATGCGCAGACCGCACTGCGCGGCCTCGACGGGCTAAAATCTACTCGCCACGAGCGAGATTGCCTAATTGGTTGAGCCCTGCTAATAAGGACTATTTTTGCATATATATATATATATATATCCTCTGTGTTTATCTTTATATATGTACATAGCTACACTCTCTCTTATATATAGTAGCTATACTATATATGTTTTATGTATGTATACTCGCACATCACAAATATACTATATAGCTATGTATTCATACAAACAGCATGTCAAAATATACTCAATACACACATGCACACACACACACACACACACACACATATGCACACACAGCCAGGTTCCCAGCTGGTACAAATGATAGTGCCATTGATTTAACACCACTCACAACTTCTGTCAGCTGCGGATTGACCCAGGATCCGGCTGTTGTCTATGTTTTTGTGGCCTGTGTGTGCGCTTTCAGTCGTGTACCTACCTACGCAATCTCCATGCCATTCCCAGCCCTGCCTTCCGAAAAAGAAAAAAAAAAGAACAAACCAAACTTAGATTTTTTGATCTTTTTTAAACAAAACAAAAAAAAAAGAAACAAAACAAAAGCAAACAAAAAAGCCGTTAAAAAGGACTAAAACAAAAAACGGGGGAGAAAAATTCCTACCAAGTTGTCGATGTCCCTCGACTTCCATTTTGGGTATTGAGCTGTGGTCTGTCTGTGTATCTTTCTGTAAGTCCATTTGTACAAGAACTCCTCCTAAATGGTAAGAGCTAGGACTTCCAAATATGATAGGCTGCTTCTTCTTATCCTAACTTAAAGCAAGATCAGGGTTTGATTGCACCAGTAAAACAGGAAGTACTAGGAATGGGATTGTTTTCCATAACATGGAAAGGGAGAGGGCACAGAGAGGAAGGACATGATACTGAGAGCGGCCACTGGTGGCAGTGAGTACAGGGGAGAGCTATACTGCAGAGACCACTGTGGGCAGCTGCACCACCAAGCATTTCTCTCCAGCCCAGCCAGCTGATTAGCAGAGCGTGCATATTTATAGCTGGCAGCATTTGTTTTGCTGCTTCTCTCTCACCTTGCTCTGTCCTGCAGACAAGCTGTTCCCAGGATTCTCCTGTTAGCTGTGCAGAGCGGGGGAGGGCAGAGGCTGAGAGTGCTGAAGTCAGGGTATTTCCCCTGCTTCTGTACCCATCTCTGCAGAGCAGAGGTCGGGGAGAGGGAGACACACAGACAGGGAGCAGCTGCAATCTGACATATGGATGGGAAGTGACCCAGAGTGCAGAACAGAGCAGGGTGGGGGGAGACAACAGAGCAGGACAGATTTCCCGTAAAGAGACGGAGAGTGGTTTCTCTCAGAAACTTACCCAGTAGCAACTAGTGCACACATTTTCTATGTCATTGTCAGACACACCCCAATCTGTGCCATACTGTCTCTGTGCCACACACAGAATGTCGCATACACACTCATTCTGTGTGTGTGTGTCTCACACTCACACACCCTCTTTGTCTCTCTCTATAGCCCCCATTCCTACCCCTTTAGCCCTAGGCCCTGTCCCTTCGAGGGGCCTGGAGTTGGCCTGCAACCATGTATCAAAATTCATGAAGTGGCCTCCCCAATGAAAATGATTGCCCCCCCCCCGACAAGAGAGTGGCCAGCAAAGCTGGGGCTTGCCACCTTGCCTGTCATGACTGGGTAAGTAGCCCCCCTACTCCAAAACCCTCCTCCCCTGGCCCTTGACCACAGTGCTGGAGTCAGGGGAAGGCTCCTGGCAGCAAGGAATGCTAGGGGGAGACAGAAGGCTCCTGTCTGCTGGGAGGGAGGCTGGGGGGACAGAAGGCCAAGGCTGACTAGTGGGATTGAGGGAGAGAGAAGACCCCTGCTGGCTGCAGGAGCTAGGGAGAGAAAATGCCCCACTGGCTGGGATGGGGGAGAGAAAGCCTCATTGCATGGGACCCCCCAGCCTGAGCCCCTCCTCATGCCCCAACCCTCACTCTCTTGTCCCCCTCATAACCCCAGCCCTGCCCTTCCCGTCCCGTCACATCCCCCTGCACCCTGTATACCGCCCGCCCGCTGCCCTGAAGTACCTGGGCAATGCTGGTAAGTCTTCTAGTCATAGATAACTGCGCTCCCTGCACTCACATAGAAACAAATGAGAGCAGAGCTACATTGCCGTCACCAGCCCATACTCACCACTACGGCTCTTCCTCTTAGCCCTCACTCCCTGCCCAAACACATTTACCAGGAACTTCAGTAACATTTAATGACGTGTGATAGGAAGGCAAACAAAAGCCTTAGGGTATGTCTACACTACCACCCTAGTTTGAACTAGGGTGGTTAATGTAGGCAACTGGAGTTGCAAACGAAGCCCGGGATTTGAATTTCCCGGCTTCATTTGCATATTGCCGGGCGCCGCCATTTTTAAATGTCCGCTAGTTCGGACTCCGTGCCCGTGGCTACACGCGGCTCGAACTAGGTAGTTCGGATTAGGCTTCCTATTCTGAACTACCGTTACTCCTCGTGGAATGAGGTTTACCTGTAGTTCGGAATAGGAAGCCTAATTTGAACTACATAGTTTGAGCCGCATGTAGCCGCGGGCACGGAGTCCGAACTAGCGGACATTTAAAAATGGCGGCGCCCAGCAATATGCAAACGAAGCCTCGGAAATTCAAATCCCGGGCTTCATTTGCAACTCCGGTTGCCTACATTAACCACCCTAGTTCGAACTAGAGTGGTAGTGTAGACATACCCTTAGAGTTCACTCCTGTATTCCAAATCCAGCAGATGGCAGCACGGAGCATCTCTTAGGCTGTTGAGAACAGTTCCCTATTTTGGGGTTCAAGAAGTCTTGTTTCTGGCCACCTAAAGCTGAAGCAAGCAGGTCAGCCTTGTCAGTCTAGGCAGGCCTACAACGCTTATTGCTGCTTCTGCAAGTGTGACCATACTAGCGATTGTCTTCCTCACTGGGCAGGCATCTCCCTGGGCCTTCCTTGCCAGGGAGTTTCATGGTACTGCTGCTCATCCCAGGACTGGAAAACAGCAATGCAGCCTCCACCACTCTGTGCTTATGGATTCAGCTCAAAGCAGCTTGGGTACGTCTACACTACAACGTTAATTCGAACTAACGGATCCAGACTAAAAAACTAGTTCGAATTAGCGTTTTGCGAATTCGAACTAGCATTATCCACATTAAGTGGACCCTGAACCGGGCTTAAGGATGGCCGGAAGCAGTGCCGGCAGGGCATCAGAGGAGGACTTAGAGCATGGAGATGCTGTCTCAGGCTAGCCGAGGGCTGTGCTTAAAGGGTCCCGACCCTTGCCGCAGGCTGCCATCTGGGGAGAGGGGGTAATTGGGGGGGAATTGGGGGGCTGCAGGAGAGCTTCCACCCCCAGAAGCCCGCAGAGCCAGCCCAGTCCTCCCCATCGGGAGCTCGTGCCCCATTCCTCCCTCACCTCCTTCCACTTACCCTTCCCTTGCCCCTCTTCTTGATGTACAAAATAAAGATAACGTGTCTTCCAAAATGGAATCTGTCTTTATTGAACAAAACTGGGGGAGACTGGGAAAAGGAGGTGGGAGAGGGGAAGAGAGAGGCTGGGAGAGGGGAGGGCAACTAAAATGATCAGGGGTTGGGAACAGGTCCCAGATGAAGAGAGGCTACAGAGACTGGGACTGTTCAGCTTAGAAAAGAGGAGATGGAGCGGGGACAGGATAGAGGTCTCTAAAAGCAGGGGTTGGGTGGAGAGGGTGCATTCAGAAAAGTTCTTCATGAGTTCCCATAAAGAAAGACTAGAGGACACCAAAGGAAAGGAATGGGTAGCAGGCTTCAAAGTAGTAACAGAAAGTTGTTCTTCACAAAGCAAAGAGTCAACCTGTGGAACTCCTTGCTGCAGGAGGCTGTGAAGGCTAGAACTAGAACAGAATTTAAAGGGAAGTGAGAGCAAGTCATGGAGGTTGGGTCCATGGAGTGCTATTAGCCAGGGGGTAGGAGTGGTGTCCCTGCCCAAGGTTTGTGGAA